GCCTGCATAGCCAAGTCAATTCTAAGCAAAAAGAACACAGCGGGGGGCATCACACTACCGGATTTCAAACTATACTACAAGGCTACAGTAATCAAAACAGCATGGTACTGGTACCAAAACAGAGATATAGACCAATGGAACAAAACAGAGGCACCGGAGGCAACACAACATACATACAACTATACAATCTTTGATAAACCTGACAAAAACAAGCAATGGGGCAAGGATTCCATGTTTAACAAATGGTGTTGGGAAAACTGGCTAGCCATGTGCAGAAAGCAGAAACTGGACCCCTTCCTGACACCTTACACTAAAATTAACTCCAGATGGATTAAAGACTTAAACATAAGACCTGGCACCATAAAAACCCTAGAAGGAAATCTAGGCAAAACTATCCAGGACATAGGAGTAGGCAAGGACTTCATGAACAAAACACCAAAAGCATTGGCAACAAAAGCCAAAATAGACAAATGGGACCTAATGAAACTCCACAGCTTCTGCACGGCAAAAGAAACAGTCACTAGAGTGGATCGGCAACCAACAGAATGGGAAAAAATTTTCGCATTCTACCCATCTGACAAAGGGCTGATATCCAGAATTTACAAAGAACTCAAACAGATTTACAGGAAAAAAACAAACAAGCCCATTCAAAAGTGGGCAAAGGATATGAACAGATACTTTACGAAAGAAGACATATATGAGGCCAACAATCATATGAAAAAATGCTCATCGTCACTGGTCATCAGAGAGATGCAAATCAAAACCACATTGAGATACCATCTCACGCCAGTTAGAATGGCGATCATTAAAAAATCTGGAGACAACAGATGCTGGAGAGGATGTGGAGAAAAAGGAACACTTTTACACTGTTGGTGGGAGTGTAAATTAGTTCAACCATTGTGGAAGACAGTATGGCGATTCCTCAAGGCCTTAGAAATAGAAATTCCATTTGACCCAGCAATCCCATTACTGGGTATATATCCAAAAGACTATAAATCGTTCTACTATAAGGACACATGTACACGAATGTTCATTGCAGCACTGTTTACAATAGCAAAGACCTGGAATCAACCCAAATGCCCATTGATAATAGACTGGATTGGAAAAATGTGGCACATATACACCATGGAATATTATGCAGCAATCAGAAATGATGAGTTCGTGTCGTTTGTAGGGACATGGATGAATCTGGAAAACATCATCCTCAGCAAACTGACACAAGAGCAGAAAATGAAACACCGCATATTCTCACTCATAGGTGGGTGATGAAAAATGAGAACACATGGACACAGAAAGGGGAGTACTAAACACTGGGGTCTATTGGGGGGAAAAGGGGAGGGCCAGTGGGAGGGGGAGGTGGGGAGGGATAGCCTGGGGAGAAATGCCAAATGTGGGTGAAGGGGAGAAGAAAAGCAAAGCACACTGCCATGTGTGTACCTACGCAACTGTTTTGCATGCTCTGCTCATGTACTCCAAAACCTATAATCCAATAAAAAATTAAAAAAAAAAAAAAAAAAAAAAAAGAAAGGAAGATCCTGGGAAATTTCCAGCAGGTCTTGTCTGGTCAGAAACTGTACGTGAGTTTGCACATGCTGCGTCCTGCATGAAGATGTTGAGTTAAGGTTCTAGGAGGAAACTCCAGTCCAGGTCCTGCTCACTAAGCCCTGGAGGAAGGGTATCTTATTCTCAAGAACACCAAGTTCCCATGGGTGCTAGTAGAGGCCCTTGGCTATGGTCAACGGAAAGAATATTACAGCATGTTATTACTAATTTCAGATGTTTCTTTAGAGAACCATCTTCATTATTTTTAAGATAATACTACTTTTTTCCTCCATAGATTTCAGGTTCTTGGGAAGTACTGAGGAGTTAACTTCTGAGGTTGGAGAAAATGGCCCTTGATCTGCCCTTTCCTTTTATTTGAAAGACTCTCAAATTATGTAATAAAACTTTGTTCACGTTCCTAAAACAGAATTGACTAAAAGACAATCAAGATATGCCAGATACATTTGGGTTTCATCCAAAAATGTTTAGTTCCTGAAACACCAGTTCCTTTGTAAGATGGCCTCACCCTTAAAGGATTTCATAACAAAGCTGAAAATGGTTAATTTGAAGTGTGGCTATAGTATCTGCTTAATTTAGAGCAGATTCTACTTACAGGGAATCAGAAACTATATTATACTCCATTGTGATAAGAGTTTCTCCTTGTTCCACACGTTTATATTAATGTTGAATTATATGTTCTTTAAAGACATATTGGATGAATAATCATTATAGCTAAAATATATTGATAAATTAATAGATGCCTGGCACTGAGCTAAGTGATGATTTTTTTATATGAAGCAAAGGTACACTTCTTTATTGTTGATGCAGGAATGTTAAACAGTGTGAAAGGTAGGGATAATAAAGTTTAGGCACTTGAGAAGGATAATTTCTGTGTATAGAACCTTGGGATGACAGGCCTTCAGAATTAACTTTTTAAAATAATACATAGATTAGGCACAATGTGGTCATGCTAAGTGCTTTAAACTTTTAAAATTAATTATATAAGGTTGGTGTTATAATTCATGTAAAAGTATGTTCTTTAGAAAATATATTGCACAATCTGGCATATCATTTATGGTCCTGATAAATGATAAAAACTGATACTTTTTCAAAAGTGGTATAAAAGGTAAGGATTTAACTGCAGTAGTTACTTATATGTTTATATGCACAAACACAGATACGGTTACACAAATACTTCTCACCATTTCATCATCTATTGATGTATCACAAACTACTGTTACTGTGACCTACAGCAACAATCATTTTATTGCATTTCACTCTTCTGTGGGTCAGAAATCTGAGCAGGGCTTTGCTGGGTAGTCTCTTTATTCCATGTAGGGTCGACAGAGGTCACTGAAAGATAATCAGCTGGTGGATGGGTTGGTCTGGAGGATTCAGTAAAAAACCAGTGGAATCCAACAGGGGCTCAGCTGGCATCATGACCAGAGGATGACCAGAGGCCACACACAAGTGGCCTTTCTAGTATGGCAATCTCAAACTAGCTGAACTTTTGACATGGGAGCACAGGGCTCCAGAGAAAACATTCCAAGAGACCCCAGTGGAAAATGCAAGTTTCCTTATGGCTTAACTTAGAAAATCCTAGAATATCACTTCTTTCATATTCTATAGTTAAGCAAGTCACTAAGGCCAGCTCCTTCAAGAAATAAGGAACAAGACTACTTCTCAACGGGAAGAGAGCAAAGAACATATGGCCAACTTTAATCTACATACACCTAGACCAACTGATGAAGCATCTGGAACACAACAACTATCCATAGACTCTCTACATCAACAATCTTGGAACACTTAAGCCTGGATAGACAATGTCTACTTCTGCAAGGTGTTCTGGTCTTCTGCCAATGGAAAATCAATCAAATCCCCAGCTTTGAGCAGTGGACCCATACGTGGCTGCCCCACATCTTCTTCTACTAAGCCATGATGACCAAAAAGTTTTTGTTTGTTTTTTTAAAGAGTCTCACTCTATCACCCAGGCTGGAGTGCAGTGGCCCGATCTCACTCACTGCAACCTCTGCCTCCCAGGTTCTAGACATTCTCACACCTTAGCCTCCCGAATAGCTGGGATTACAGGCACCTGCCACTAAACCAGGCTAATTTTTATATTTTGTGGAGATGGGGTTTCTCCATGTTGGCCAGGCTGGTCTTGAACTCCTGACCTCAGCTGATCTGCCTGCCTCGGCCTCCCAAAGTGTTGGGATTATGGGCATGAGCCACTGCACCCAGCCAAAAAAGTCTTTTTGTGCATCCTGTGTCTATTTATTAGTTCCAGAACTTTTCCCAGTCATAGGATCACAGAAGGTCAGAGCTTGGAAGGGACCGCAGAAATAAAGTCTGATTTCATTTTACAGATGAGGAAGTTTAGGTTCATGTGACCTAAAGTCAGAAACTGATTAGTGACAGAGCCACAGCCTAGATCTCCTGTTGCAATGCATGAAGAGCTTAGGTAATCCTGATTTATCCATGGAATAGGCAGCCTATTTGCCTGATTCTTCTCTTAGGAACAGTCCATCTACCATGATTTGCCTTCCTACTTCATCATGAAGCATTTAAAAAGAAACTATTCATTCCAAGTTCAACAGTTTATTCAAGTATCTAGCTCATTTTTTCTCAGTTCATATTTAACAAATGTTTACTGAGCCTCCACGAAGTTGACAGCACTGTCCCTCGCACCAGCCCATGCAGCTGAACAAATTCAGACACACTTTCAGATGGGGACTGCCTGCAAAGAGGCTTCCCTTCTAGTTAGAAAGTCAGAAGGTACATTTCGCAATAGTCACTTTACTCTAGGTCACATATTTGATTATGCTACTTTATCTTTAAGAACCTCTCTAGGCTGGGCGCAGTGTCTCACACCTATAATTTCAGCTACTCTGGAGGCTGAAGCAGAAGATTCCCTTGAAACCAGGAGGCGGAGGTTGCAGCAAACCGAGATCCCGTCTCTGCACTCCAGCTTGGGCAACAGCGAAAGACTCAGTCTCAAAAAAAAAAAAAAAAAAAAGGAAAAAAGTACTTCTGTAACACAGTTCCCTATTCTCCTTTGTTTGCAGAACAGACCAAAGGGCCAAAGCTTCTTCCCTTAGAAACAGCCCATCCATCTGTTCAAGGATTCCGAGATTTTTGCCTATTCAGAGCATCAATTTGGAATGGGTGTAAGACTACTCACAAATCAATGTGATGGTCCAGTTGTTACTGTTTCTTTTGTTTCACCAGACGTTTGCTCATTAGATGAGGTGACTGATAGCTCTGACTTTCTAGACCACAAGGACTCTAAGTGGCTGCCGTAAGTACAGTCCTGGCAGCTGGGATTTCCTGTTTACATGGTGCCCAGGCACCATTAGCTTTTGTCTTCTGCTGCAGCTAATGTGTCTTTCTCGTGGGGGAGGGGTAAGGAGAGGGGGAGTGGGACAGGACCCACCTCTGACAGTGACACCTCCTCGACATCACGTCCATGCTGGTACTCAGCTCCCAGAACTGGCGGGATCCCTCTTCCCGCTCAGCTGGGAGATGCCCCAGACAGGCATTCCTGGCTCTGGGCGGCCAGGGTAACAGCCCACCCCCATCCACTCCGGGGACCACCAGGGGCCGCGTGAAGGCAGATGTTCTGTGGAGAAACGTGGAAGTGAGGGGGCACCCAGGGCCGGCGGCTGCAGTTGGCTCTCCCGTGGGCTCTGGGCCGGAGCCGCTCCCGCCCGTGGGGAGGAGAAGGAGCCGGATGGGCGGGTTTAGGCGCGCGTGGCGGCGGGTCCCGGGGCCGCCGGCTCCTCCCCGCGAGGGTGCCTGTCCGCCGCTCGCCGCGCTGAGGCAGTGCGGGGCGGGCGCGCCTAGGCTGCCGCCCAGCGCCCTCGCCGCGGCCATGCCCGGGCCCTAGCGCGCCTGCCGCAGCCCGCGCCCCGCAGCCCCGCAGCCCCGCGCCCGCCGCTGCCTCTTCAATGGGCAACCTGCTGGGCGGGGTCAGCTTCCGCGAGCCCACCACCGTGGAGGACTGCGACTCCACCTGGCAGACCGACTCGGAGCCTGAGCCCGAGGACCCAGGGCCGGGCGGCGGCAGCGAGGGCCCGGGGCAGGAGCCCGAGCAGCCCGCGCAGCCCCCGGAGCGAGCCGGCGGGCGGCCCAGTGCCAGCCCCGCGCCGGACGAGGATGCCGAGGCGGCAGGCGCCGAGCAGGTACGCGGCCCAGCGGTGGCCTCGGGTCGGGTTGGCTCGGGCCGGGGTGCCCCAGACAGGGGTGAGCGCCAAGCCGCCCTCGCACGCGGAGGACAGGGGCACCCGGGGGCTGCTCGCCTCAGACCCGGCCCCTCCGCGCCGCGCCTGACCCGCCTGGCGGTGGAGCCCGGGGGCCTGCCGGAGCCGCCCACTGCCAGCCTGGGGCCTGGCCGAGGGCACGGCGGGGAAGTCCCTCAAGGCAGAACCCAACTTGAATGGGTATTTTCTTTGCCTCTGCAGCGCAGCTGGGTTATGCGAAGGTGGGGTGGGAGGAACCTGTCTAAAAATAGAGGATTGTGACAGCCCCTCTAGTGAGTGTTATTGGGAGAAAAAAAAATTACTCAGAGTAAGATGGGGCTACAGGAGCAGGCAGCCAGTGCTCTCCCCCTACAGTGAAGGCTAAGCCATCGGAAGTGTAGACGGCACGGGTCTGAGATTCATACGTCACTAATCTGCCCAACTCACACCTTTCAACCTAGGATTCAGGGCACTCTTCATGAATCTTATTTTCACCAGAAAACTTGTTGATCCAACTGTGCTTGAACCATTTGACTAATACAGCTTGGAGACGTTAGTCAAACGATAAATAACCCCCTTAATCTCTGATGGACTGAAAATAATCAGGAACTTTTTTAAAGGAGGAAATATATAGCCGACCCTCAGAAGAAGCGTGTACATCCTTGAGGTGGTTCAGGTTTGCCGCTCCGCATTAGGACCTTCTCTTTATCAGCTATGGGCAATCCAGATTGAGAAAACGGAATCCAAAGTCCAATGTGACCACAGGGTTTTGGGGGAATCATTACCTCAATATTACAGCTAATGCTGCCTCAACAGTCTTGATGAACAACTCTGTTTATGATTTGCTCCTTACCTAAGTGAAGTCTTAGTGCAGGCTCTGTGCTAAACGTGCTATTTAAATGAACTACAATTTTGGGGTGGGAGTTTGCTGTGTGGTCTCCATTTTAGAGAAAACTGAGGCTTAGAGAGAAAAGAAAACTTGCCCAAGATCATTGAGGGAGAGGACGATGCAAACCTAAGTCTATCATTAATATTCAGAGCCTTGGACTTGTGGAATTGTGAATTTCCATCTGCCCCTGTGTCTGGTTTGCTGCTGTTGTTTTGCATTGCTAATTCAATCTTATTAAATTATTAGATGCTGCATTCTCATGTTTTTCCCTTCCATTTGTCTCCCAGTTAAGTAACCTCCTACAGAAATTTGGGATATCAAAAAATTCCAGCTAAAATTCAATCCTATTAACGAGGTCCATCTATATAGTACTTTTTAATAATGTTTCAGTCAGTTAATTGCAACTCCAGTAACTAGTACACTACACCAGCCCTCCCTATTCCTGTTTAATGATTAATTTTTCTTGTTAGTATCAACATCTGACTTCCAAAAATATCTGCTTTTCAATTTTGCCTTTTGACTTTCAACCCCATTTGTTACCTCTTCCTTAGAGTCAATCTACTTGCAGGTAATACTGGAGCTACTTTTAAAGCGTATCCCAGACGGACTCCTTCACACTGCTTCCATTGCATCATCCTAGTCCCTCTGAATATTGGACAAATGATGGTGACATTAATGAAGACAGGGAAGTCTAGGATGAATGTAGCTTTAGAGGTTAAGTCAAAGATTCTCTTGAGTTTGATATCCTATTAGACATCCAAGTGGAGTTGTTGGATAGTTAATTATTTGTTGGGTAGTTACATTACATCTATGAAAGGAGACTTAGTCCAGGGCAAGAGTCCTCAGCATCTGAGATCAATGGTATTTAAAGTCATGGGAAGATAAGGGGTTATCAAAGAATGATGAGGAATGAGGGCCCTGGGCACTCCTCCATTTAGAGGGTATGAAGGGGAGGAGGAGCCAAAAAAAGGAGGCTGACAAAGGCCCAATGAGACAGGAAATAAACTAAGACAGTATAGTATCCTGTAAGCCAAATACAGTGTTTCAGGAAGGAAGGATGCTTTAATTGGCCCAATGCTGTTGGGAGGTCGCCTGAGGTGAACATTAAGAAATGGTTTGGCAAGATGGAGATTTATTGGTGAAGTTCACAAGAACTATTTTGTTGGAGTGCTGAGGACAAAAGCCTGATTGAGGTGGGTCATGGGAAATTGGGAAAATAAGAGAAGGAGACAGAAAGTCTGGGCAATTCTTTGGTGGTGATCTATAAGAAAGGAGCAGATATATGGATCTGTAATTGAGGATAGACTTGTGTCAAGGAAGGTTTTGTATGTTTAAGATTAGAGATACTACAGCATGTTTAAGATCCAGAAGAGAGGGAAATTTTGATGATCCAGGGAAGAGGAACAATATGTTGTTGAACAACGGAATCCTTATTTGAGCAGGTGAAAGAGGTCTGGGTAGAAAGTCCAGAGGGAATAGGGGTTTTAGGAGCAGGAGCAGATGCTGGCAAGACAGTCATTCTTACGATAATCCTGAGAAATAGTTGAGCATGAGTCATTATCTTTATTTCACAGATGATAAAACTAAGATTCACCTAAATGATTTGCTTAAGGCCTCACAAATATGAAGTAGCAGAGTTAAGATTCCTCGTCTTCTGACTTCAAGTCTTGGGTTACTGCTACTACACCAAGGTTCCCATACATCCTTCATTTTTATTGTGACTGAGATTGATTCAGACTTGTACTTGGAACCTACAGCCTGGAATTCTTGTTCTTCCACTGTCACTGGACTCTGGGTGGTGTTCAACTTCTCTAAGCCCCGATACCTTGTTTCTAAGATGGAGACACGTAACTTGTCAGTCAGGTGTGTTTGAATCAAATTAAATAATATACAAGTAAGTGCTTTGTAAATGGAGAATGCTTTATACAAATGTAGAATGATACATATGGTTGTAGTTGAGGCTAAATAGATTCAGAAACTTGCTAGGCAGAGCTATTTTGAAACGTGTGGCAAGGACCAGAAATCAAGCTTTTCCTTGCTTATGTAACATGACAGAGTAACTAATGTTAAGCATCAGAAGATTTGGTGTTGAAGTAACTCCGTACTTATAGTAATAGTGAGAATCACCCACCTCAAAACTGTGTGAAAATTACTTAGAGGATGCCAGTCTGTCAACACAGATGGAGGACAGGCATTGAGGAGAAAACAATTTGGGGCAAAGCTTTTAATGACTCTTAAAGGTCTAAAGTTTTTCTTTTTCGTCATTGTCATCAGCATTTTCTCATACATCATAATAGTATATATAGGGAATGCAAATCGATTATATTAACCTGCATCTTATACAGGGAATGCAAATTGATTATATTAACCTGCATCTTATACTTTAACAATACTTCATGGTGATAGAAATTTTGCTTAGAGTTTAAATAGTATGAGTAAACTACCACATGTAAGTTATTTCAGTTGGACATCATTTTATTTGAAAGCATTTTATTGCTTCGTGTGTATATATTTTAAATGTTTATATCACATGATTATTCATGCCTTTGCGTATTTGTCATGGTGTTTGTTATAAAGGATGGAGTTTAGAAAGCTAGTTTTGAAATCCTTTCTTGTCATAAATGTTACTTGACTTTCAAGTACAGCTAAATGTTGCAAATTTAATGACAATTTTCTTTGTAGAACTGATTTAGTATCTTAACACATTCTTAGTATTTTGTAAAATATTCTAAAATAAGTTTTATCATAGAATCACTTGGACAGTCATTTGGTAAATGTCCTGAATTCCTTTTAGAGTTCTCTTTCTGATGGATATTGATCCATAACATTGGCCTCTATAGGTTTTTGGTTAATAATAAAGTGGTTTATTCAGTAATATATCTTAGGACAAATGTTGTTGGTTAAATAAACAAAATAGGATGCTAATATAACTAGTAAGCATTATTAAAGGAACATTTATAATATTTATCAGTTTGGACAGATTGACCATTTCTAGGCTTTCTTTTTGGATCTTCATTATTTTGTTTGTTCTAGAAATTTCTTGCTGAAATTGTCTTGCATCAACATGTAAATGGAGTTTCACTTTTTATTTCAGGGTGATGATTCCACTGAAGCAACAACGGCCAAACCAAAGAGAAGTTTTTATGCTGCGAGGGATTTGTACAAGTACCGACACCAGTACCCAGTAAGAGTATAGAGTATTATTTTCTAAAATGTAAACTGTTTTCCTTCTGTTTTTAAGTGTATGGTGCCACTGAGAAAACATGCATGAAGGGTCCTTATATCTTTACTATATTTCTATGTTCTGGAGATTGATTTATTTTTTTCTCTAGCAGAACTTCAAAGATATCCGATATCAAAATGACTTGAGCAATCTTCGTTTTTATAAGAATAAAATTCCATTCAAGCCAGATGGTGAGTAACATATACTTGGTAAATTGCATTAAATAATCATATTCACTTGGTTTATTTTGTGGTTTATTTCATAGATTGGATTTACTTTGCTCTGCAGTCTAATGTGTTCCCTGTGTCCTAGATCATAGGTCTGTGAGCATGCACTTGGTAAATTCTGGAAGAGCTACAGATACCTTCCTACCACTTGTTTACATTGCTATTATCTGAAAGACAGTAGGGACAATCTTTATCAAAGGAAAAGAGAGGAGATATATAGAACCATAGAATTTTAGGTTATTAAGGAACATTGGAGAAGATCAAATTCAGCTTTCTCATCTCAAAGATTAGGTCACTAGGACTTAAAGCTTAGATGACTGACTTGCATGTCACTCAGTTGCAGGTTCCAGAGTCCACTGTTCTTTCCATTGTGCCGTAGCTGAAAATTATTGAGAATGTGATTGTAAACTGCTGTTTTTATTTAGAATTATCTTTCCTGTCAGTTTTCAGATTCAGGTTATCAGTAATCTATAGCAATCCCTGTTTGAAGTTCCAATATTATGGGAAAGGAATGGCAGATACAGTAGATCTCCAGCCTGCTCTGGCAAATACACTTGTCTCCTTCCCAAACTCTGTAATTGCCCTCATAGGATCTCTTCCAAACCCATAGTGAAAAGATGCAGCTGCTATGGTAAGAGACCACAACATCACATATTTCACTGAGGCATCATGCTGTGGTTCATGGTGGTCATCCTAATTTTATCCAGGTCACTCCCGCAAAGCTGGCTTCTCTCCCAAGAGCTTTTTTCTGTGTGAAGTGGTCAGACTACCCTGGCTTCTGCTATTTGCTCTCAGTGGAAACTGAGCCAGTTTCATGGCAATGTGAGTCATGGAATGAAGGTGATAGATTGCAAGGCTTTTAAGTGGCAGGACCTTGCATTCTTTGGTGAACTAACTCGAGGCAAGAGGTCTAAAGCCTGGATGGAGTTTGGGCAGAGGGAGTCCCAGTACTGTGTACTCACAGACCTACCAGTTGGGAGTTAATATTTGAGAACATTGCTGACATGACCAGATCTATTTGTCTTCAACTTTCTGGTGTTTCAAAAGTCTGCTGTGATTTGGAGGGACACCTCTGGATAAAATTGCACAGTTGTATTTACTAATGATAGAAATGTGCTGATTTACCAATGGAAAAATATTGATTAAATTATTCATTTTGTTAGGACTAGGGTAGGAAAATCTTTGGAAGAAATGCAATGATAGATTGTTGATTTGAGTCTGATGTAAATTGTATACAATTTACTGAAAAGAATACCTTTAAGTATTAAAAAATATTGAACATAAAACTATAATATTTAACTTTGTTTTATCTACTAGGGAATTTATTTTTTAAGCTAATATTTTTGGTAATCTTTATTACAAAGTTTGTTTTGAAATCTTATATGATTGGTGGGGGTCAGAAGTTTTTAAGTCATATAAAATATTATTCTAGTTTATAAATTATATCAACTCACTTTCCTCCCTAGTACACACACACACACACACACACACACACACACACACACACTACTTGCAGTAATCATCATCTTGCAATGGTCTATTTGACTTATCAGGCAAGAGGAGTCGTAGTTGGAAAGGAAAACAAATGGAAAATTTGAGGAATGGTTTCAACCTGCCAATAAAGCCAACAATATGATTCAAAACAACTTTTTACCAAATCTTTTCAGAGTGGACCTCTACTGTAAACTGGTGATCTCTGGAGGAAACAAGAATGAGATGAGTTATGTTTGGAGAAATATTATATTGCTGTGTTTTTTCTATAAGATTGACTAAATGGCTAGTCAATTGTAAAGACCTTGACAGACTTAGGAACTAGGAGGATTTTGTTTTTGTGAGTTCTTGTAGGGGAAGAATGGACAGGGTGAAAAGGGTTTACTTCTTAGAACCAGAAAAACCTATGTTCTACTCCAAGATTTACTTTAATAGTGTGTGACTTTGAACAAATCGCCCAGTTTCTTCATTATTAAAATTAGGATCATAACACTGGGAGCTTTCTGTCAAGACTAAGCTTGATAATGTACACTGTGTGATATGGGCACAGCACATAGTAAGCACTTAAAACTTTTTTCTACATTTTTCTTTTCTCCCTTTCCTTCTCCTTTGTTTTCTCCTCCTTTCTTTTCCCTTTCCACTCCCGTCTTTCTTTTCCCCTAGGTATCATTTCATTTTGATCCAATCTAGCCTTTAAAGAACTATGTAACTCCTAGGCAGGGATTGGCAAACTTTTTCTAATAGGGGCAAATAGTAAATATGTTAGGCTTTGGGGGACATTGGGTCTATATTGCAACTATGCATCTCTGCTATTGGCCACAGACAGGACATAATTGAGAATGGCTATATTTCAATAAACTTTATTTACAAAACACCTAGCAGGCCACAGTTTGCCAACCCCTGTTTTTGAGTATATTGCCCAACAGAACCTTCGGCAATTTGAAGTGCCATTTTTAAAAAATTAGATTTATTATATAACTGAGTATATTGGCATAGGGTATTCATCTTTTAGAAGCATTTTTCTTGTGTGCTACTATTAAATTTAAACAAGTTTAATATAAAACTCTAATTCAAATTTTAAAATGTCTTCACAATGTTTTAAATGTCTGGTTCATTTTTAAATATTTACTATTTAGGTGTTTACATTGAAGAAGTTCTAAATAAATGGAAAGGAGATTATGAAAAACTGGAGCACAACCACACTTACATTCAATGGTCAGTTACATATTATCTGTCTTGAACCATGTCCTATTTAATCATTTATGTTTTCCAGACAATGTTAATCGAAAAATTTTATTTTTTTTTAAAAAATAGGCTTTTCCCCCTGAGAGAACAAGGCTTGAACTTTTATGCTAAAGAACTAACTACATATGAAATTGAGGTAATGCAAGCTCATTTCATTTTATACAAGGTGGCCAAATAATACTGCTGTTTTACTGTCCTTGTAGCTATTGCATCATTTCAGCTGACATTTTTTTTTCATTTTTTTATTAGGAATTCAAAAAAACAAAAGAAGCAATTAGAAGATTCCTCCTGGCTTATAAAATGATGCTAGAATTTTTTGGAATAAAACTGACTGATAAAATTGGAAATGTTGCTCGGGCTGTTAACTGGCAGGAAAGATTTCAGCATCTGAATGAGTAAGTAAAGCCCCTGTGATAAATCAGGGGCCAGCACAATTGTTTTCCCTTGGTCAGACTTCTCTGTGAAACATAGGAACATCTAGCACCTGAGATGGGCCCAGGAATTTGGATTCAAAAGCTAGTCTGAAATGCATTACAATCCTGTACCATATTCTAAAAAACAAAACGACAGCAAAAAGGAACAAAATTCTAGGTAGAAACACAGCTACTCAGCTTCAGATCTGTTTCTCCCTGAAACCTTCCTACTGCCCACAGCCAAATATTGCCTGTCTCCCTCTTCCTTATGCCACATTTTTTTTTTGTAGTTTATTGTTATTGCTTGTGTACAATTTTGTGTATCCCTTCTTGTAGGCTATAAGCTTTGTGGGGCACAACCTGTTTCTAAGCATAATGCTTTCTTAGATTAAATTCATGAATGGAGCCTATGATGCGTAAAAATCATTTTAGAAGAATGAGATGGGCCAGTACTTTTTCTAAAACGGAAAATTACACTTGTCTTTTCACTGTTAGTTAAAGCAAAAACTCATTTTTGGTTAAAATTTTCTGCATAAGTTTTGCAATTTATTAACAGTTTATTTGGAATTCTTTTGCTGTATACATTTGCTTGGATGTTTATAACTTTTATTAATACTCATAACCAAATTTTATTTTTCTTAGTATTTTCTTCATGTGCAAACTGTCCGTTTTTCATTTTAATTATATTTAAATTTTAACTAATTAATTACAGTTACATTTAAACTAATTATAGTTTAATGATTTATCAATGCTGGCCTATGTAGGCACCAGCTTTAAAGTACTTTTAAGCATATTATATAATTAGCTAAACTGAGCAAGTACTGAGAACAAAAAAATTATAACCTAAGCAGTTTTTCTTTGGCCACAACAATCTGAGTTTTGTGCATCAGTTAACTAATTTTTCTGTGTGTTTTTATAGATTGCTTTGGTAAAATGGGTATAAATATTAATGTTAAGCCTTTTTACTTTATTACTTATAATCAATGATATTAAAATGGTAGTTTGTACTAATATACTAAACATATGGGCATAAAGCTTTATATTCCTGACTAGAGACCCATTAACTCATAACTCAAGTTAAATTTGACTTAAATTTATATAAATAGGGCACTTAAAGCATAAGTAAATATACCTCTACCTAAGCAATGCAGGTAGCTCTGGGCAAAGTTTCTAAGCACTTACATTACACTGTGAAAGAACTGTATGCAGGCAGATTGTTGACATGAAAGACAACAAAAGGAAGAGTAAATCTTTTGAAAGGATTCGATAGTACTTTATCTTTCATGTATTGAACAACTATCATTTTAGAGACTCACCTCAAGCTTATTTTTGATTGGAATAGGAATCTTGCATAGTAAATTTTTGTGGAATGAATAAATGATGAACAAAGTATGGTCTTCAGCTTAAGTCTGAGTTTTTTTGTCATATCTGATTTATAGGTGGAAAGTTGTTTTTTGTTTTTTTTTTTTTTTTTGAGACGGAATCTCGCTCTGTTTTCTAGGCTGGAGTGCAGTGGTGCGATCTTGGCTCACTGTAACGTCCACCTCCCGGGTTCAAGCAATTCTCCTGCCTCAGCCTCCTCAGTAGCCAGGATTACAGGTGTCTGCCACTATGCCTGGCTAATTTTTGTATTTTTAGTAGAGACAGGGCTTTACCATGTTACTCAGAGTGGTCTCGAACTCTTTACCTCAGGTGATCTGCCCGCCTCAGCCTCCCAAAGTGCTAGGATTACAGGCATAAGCTACCATGCATGGCCACACAGTCTCTTTTTAAGCCTGTAATTAAACAATTTCCAGGCTTGAGGCAGGGGAGGGAGCCTGAACTAACAGTCACTTCTCACTCCTCTGCCCCATCCTCTCTACCACCTATACCCTTTTTCCTTTATGTATTGCATAGAGCTTTTCCAGCTGTGAATTAACCGCCTTAGAATCTGCCAGAAAACACATTTCTTCTCTAGTTTAGTTGCAAAAAAACCTTTATTGGCTAGATTTGAACAAATGATAGAGGATTCTATGAAAACATCTATTCTATTTTCTTCAATTTGGTCCTTTTCTGACTTATTCTTAAATGTCATATCTTATTTGTATTTGAATGTGTATAGCATCTTGAGGAGTTTAGAGTAGGCAGGGAACTCAATATATTTATAGTAGCTAAGCAGAGGAAAAATATTGAATCAAAGTGAAATAAAATAACATTGAGTGAAAAGTGACCTTTACTAAAAGAGGCAAAATATTTTCAAACATCAGAGTACAAATATATGGACCAACCACTAAGATGTGTTTTCAATTTTGTTTGTAATCAACTTGGATTACTGAGCCATATTTAGACCCTGGGATGCCCTCTAACTTATTTTCTATTTCCTGGTTCTCACCTTGTATGTCTTCTCTCTTTACCTACCTACCTACCTAGTTTTCCTGCAATTTCTACACTATTTGCTACTCTTAACCTCTATCTGGAACCCCAGCTTCTTTATTTTGCCTATTTTACAACCCTAAGATAGTTTATACACTGTAAGGGTTTTAGCCACTCTTCTCTATACCATTTGTGACATTACAAATCACACTGAAACACCCAGTTGCTTTATTTTGTAGTTTTGTTCCAGGATCCTCATCATCATTTTTTAACCCAAGTTTTTGACCTTTTATACTGTTGTGTAAGTATTTTTAATTGAAGAACATATAGATATAATAAATACGTACAGAAACTTGAACTTGAGCATTCATCTAGGATTGGCTATATAAAACTGAGCTGGTTGCAAATATAGTAAATTTTGTTTAGTCATAGAGCTCCTTTTTTAAAAAATAAAAATCTTCTACCTTTCTATACATCTTTTTCTGATAGACATATAAAGCAGATATTGCCCAAGGGTTTTGTCACTAAGTTTTTAGAGTATGCAAACTCTGTAGGTTTGTAACAACTAAGTTGCTCCTGCTGTTAGTGACACATTGTCTTAATTTTACCCAAATTTATATTGTCTCGAGTGTTACTTCCTATTTAAAAATGCAGATGTATAAAACTGAGACATCTGTGCTATATTTTACCCTCTGGGCTTCAGAGTTGAATGTTAAGACAGTAATTTAGTGAACATCAGAAAATGGAAGATGATGAACTGTTGGGCTTAGCTTTTCCAGGGTTTGGTTTGTGTGAATCATTAAGGTTTTCGTTTTGTCCAAAGAAATTTTCTCATCAAAATGTAAGACCACAGAACCTTACCCTCTCATCCCTTAATGCATCACCATCTTTCTTCTGCCTTCAAGTAATTTGCTAATTATTTCTAAGTAAAATCTTTAAGCATTTTTGGAAGGTAGGACAGGTATATATAATGTTTGTAGAAAGTTCCATGTCTGAGGTATGCAGTGGGCTTGTTAAGTGATGGTTATGGTTATGTGACAATACTGGGTAAATAAATTTCTGGGCTGTTGAGAACACCTATGATTAATACACGTAGCTCATGATTCTTTTAGAATTTGTCCAGGCATGTGTAATAAAGATTGAGCTGAGTGAAGTTGGGAAGTTACATCATGAATTGTGACAATAGATTTGGAAAACATTCATCCAGTAATGGCATTAGTTTTGCGATAGAGAGGAAAGATGTTAGGTTAATCTAGAGAAGAATATCAGATAGGGAAAGAGGAGGAGAGAACTACCAGGGTTTGAAGAAAATTAGGTTAAGTTGGGATCGATACTAATATGGTGGTCCTTAATACCATATCTTTAAATAATACTAATAGTTTAAAAAAGTATCTAGTACTTACTAGGTTCTAGATAGTCAGCATGTGTATCATCTCATTTGATTCTTATAACAGTCCAGTAAATTGTGGGTCATTTTCCCCATCTGACCGATGAGGATATTGCGATTTAGAGAAACATAGTTTCACTTAGCTGCTAAGTTACAGAGCCAGGGTATGAATTCAGGTTAGACTCTGAAGCCCATGTTCTTAACTGTTAAACTATGTTCTGCTAAATACGTCAGTTTTGTATCCTTCATCAGAACTGTTTTAGCAAAGTAGAGTGTTTCTTGCTGCTGTGCTTGTCAGTGGCTTATATGGTAGATTTTGAAGGTCAGCTGGCATTTTAAATTGCACCAGTAAGCTGTTAGCTAATGTGTTTATGTATAGCAATGGTTACCTGTGATGAGTACAGTATATTGATGTTGGTACAAATAAATGCTGTGTTAGATCATCTTCAGTGTATTTTCAGTAATAAACAATTCAACAGTGGTAATAAGTTTAAACCTAAGTATTTTTCTAATATGAAGAACTCAATAGGCAAGGGAAGTTTATTTTACACGTTTGACTTTCACATAGATTGACATTACATTGTGGCATAAGGCTTTAATATCTACTGGTTTATTCTTAATGATATCTAATATGGCTTTAAAAAGTCATTACATGGCATATTTCATAGCTTACATTTCCATAAAAAATATTTTCCCGCCGGGCACGGTAGCTCACGCCTGTAATCCCAGCACTTTGGGAGTCCGAGGCGGGTGGATCATGAGGTCAAGAGATCGAGACCATCCTGGTCGAAATGGTGAAACCCCGTCTCTACTAAAGATACAAAAAATTAGCTGGACATGGTGGTGCGTGCCTGTAATCCCAGCTACTCGGGAGGCTGAGGCAGGAGAATTGCCTGAACCCAGGAGGCGGAAGTTGCCGTGAGCCGAGATCGTGCCATTGCACTCCAGCCTGGGTAATGAGCGAAACTCCGTCTCAAAAAAAATTTTTTTCCCAATAGTTTTTATTCTTCTGCTTTCCTACACCGGATATGCCCCATTCATTTTATTCAATCTTCTCTTCCAGGTCCCAGCACAACTATTTAAGAATCACTCGTATTCTTAAAAGCCTTGGTGAGCTTGGATATGAAAGTTTTAAATCTCCTCTTGTAAAATTTATTCTTCATGAAGCTCTTGTGGAAAATACTATTCCCAATATTAAGCAGAGTGCTCTAGAGTATTTTGTTTATACAATTAGAGACAGAAGAGAAAGGAGAAAGCTCCTGCGGTTTGCCCAGAAACACTACACGCCTTCAGAGAACTTTATCTGGGGACCGCCTAGAAAAGAACAGTTGGAGGGAAGCAAAGCCCAGAAAATGTCTTCCCCTCTCGCCTCCAGTCACAACAGTCAAACTTCTATGCACAAAAAAGCCAAGGACTCCAAAAATTCCTCCTCAGCTGTTCATTTAAATAGCAAAACAGCTGAAGAAAAAAAAGTGGCACCACAAGAGCCTGTGGAACAGACAGACAGGACCAGCCCAGAGCCCAGCAATGAAGCTGCCAAGCCAAGAAATACAGAGGACAGTAATGCTGAGAGTGTGAATTCTCAACCTGAAAAAACAGTTACAAATCCCACAGAAAAAAAGGAGAGTGCGTCTCCTGAAAATAACGAAGAAGGTGAAAATCATAACCAAGACAGTGAAAGTCCTGGAAATACAAATTGCCATGAAGTTGTACTAGTACAGTGAATCATCAGAAAACCCATAAGCCAGTTTAGGTTAGAGGAGAAAATAACGACTATCATTTATCCTAAAGAACAGAGACAAGGTCACATTTCAAATTTCAGCCATCTGTTTGTGATTTCTGTCATAAGCATTTTATTGTTGTTTTCATTTTGGATAACAATGAATTAAATATCTAATAAGGAGATTTAAGACAAGACCCAATAAATAAATGTATTCTGTAATGCTTTTAGGATGTAAATTTTCAAATTCTGTGTATACTAATTGCTTTGAAAATATTTTCAGAATATCTAGAAATTACCATGTAGTATTTTGTATACAAAATATATTCGAGAGTCTACGTGAAGAAAACCAAGAGGATAATTTCACTGGATTGCCACACCTTTACCCAATTTATGGTTTAATTTTTTTTTTTTGAGACAGTCTCACTCTGTCACCTAGGCTGGAGTGCAGTGGTGCTATCTCGGCTCATTGTAACCTCCACCTCCTGGGTTCAAGTGATTTTCCTCCCTCAGCCTCCTGAGTAGCTGGGACTACAGGCACATACCACCATGCCTGGCTAATTTTTGTATTTTTAGTAGAGATGGGGTTTCACAGTGTTGGTCAGGCTGGTCTTGAAATTTTGGCCTTGTGATCCACCTGACTTGGCCTCCCAAAGTGCTAGGATTACAGGTGTGAGCCACCATGCCTGGCCAATTATTATTGTTATTACTTTTAACAAAGAGATTGATCTTTTCAAATGTATTCAGAAACTAATTTGGATTCTTTGATTCCAGCACCTCAACGTGTTTATTTTGATATTCTGATAAGTGAAATAGATGGCCTTGTGGAGCTCTGACCTCCCCAGCTCATCTGTCAGTCCTGCTGTCCTCACCTCCTTGCCTCTTTCCATGCTTACCCTTGAGCTACAATCTTTGTCAGCTAGCATTTGTGTTTCTAGTGTAATTGGCCCTCCATATCAGAGGTTCAGCATCTGTGGATTCATCCAACCATAGAATGAAAATATTTGGGGGAAAAATTGATGTTTACATCTCTACTGCATATGTAGAGATGTAACCATCTTTTTTTGTCATTATTCCCTAAACAATATAGTATATTGTCTTTTTTTGTCATTATTCCATAAACAATACAGTATAACAACTATTGACATTATATTGTATATATTAGGTATTTTATAATTAATCTAGAAATGATTTAAAGTAATTTACCTAAGGGACTTGAGCATTCCTAGATTTTGGTAACTGCAGAGGGTCCTGGAACCAACCCCCCCATAGATATGAAGGGACAACTGTATACCTTAAGATGATCTATGTGGAAATCTACATGGAACAGAGTACCACTTTCTAATTGTATGACTTCAAGATTTTGCTATAATAAAATTTTCAGTATAAACTGCTTAAAAACAAATTTTGATTGAAAAGTTCAAGAAAAAAACTGTATTCTCTGGCCGTTCCATATAGATTTGTTGGTTGATTCTGAATGTAAATGACTGAATAATTAAAAAACAAGAAGTTATTCATTTCTAAAAGGCATGCCTCTTGCACTGTGAACAAGACAGTCCCTTAAACCATGAATATGTCAGTGTTCTATGGATATAAAATTAGTAATGTTGCTTAGTCCAAATGTGCTTTTGAGAAAGTATGGTTTTGTGCATCTCAAAGTTCTCAAACTTCAAATGGAGAACAAATTTAAAAGTCCATATATGCAGCTCTAGTAAGCCCTTAATATGTTACATAGCACTGGCTAAAAACAATTTTGTTTTCTATATTATTACTATTACAAATCAAAAAAACACTGTGATAAGAACTTCAAAGCATACATAAAAATATAGTTAAAGCAATGAATAGATGAAAGATTTCTATTTTATTTCATTTAGAAAACGAAAAATTCCTTTCAACTTTTAAGAAAAGTTTAGGGAATTTGTAATATGTCCTGCTTTCATATGACATATCATTTTCTGTTGCTTCTATTGAGCCACGTTTTCTGCAGTGGATTTCTTAAAAATAATCACACTTATAGCGTGCCTCTAGAAATATGGTTTTACTGCTTTGAAGTTTACATGGAACATACCAGTTGCTTAACTCTAATTTTTATATGAAAAAATATAATTTTTATATGAATCTCAGCACTTTTGTTGTATATTGTATTCCAATTAGTATGGAACACTGTCTCATTTTTAATTCCCATAATATGCCAGTTTTGCTTTCTAGTGTTTTGTGAGTATTAGGATTTGGCAATCTGCATTTTCATTTCAGTTTGTATTTTACATGCAAGAAAAACATGGACCCTCTTATATGGTGCTCGTTGTAGCAGTGTCTCCATAGAGCTCAGTAAATAGTTTTACAAGGTTTAGAGGATGAGAGAAGGAAGACTGTCAAATTAGCCAAATTGTAGAAACACAAATAATTTAATTCAAAGTTAACTTACCGATTTTGTATACAGGATAAAGTGTTCAGACCACTTTCTAAATGCATAATACTAAAAGATTGTGACCAGATACTACAATATTAATAAAGCTAGCAGATATTAAAACCAATGAATGTAATCTGAATGACTTAGAAATTGTAGTATGTTAGAGCCCTTATGAGTAGAAATGTTTCATTTAGCAATTTAACTTTTAGAATATTATTCCCACTTAGGATTTTGATTAGATTAGACCGTAAATTTGAGAATATTTAGTCTCAAAGGGAAAACTTCCTGGCATCCATCTTAAATAGTGGTGTTTTCCCACTATGGTGTTTTTAAATGCATATTCATACGTAACTGTGTTTCTTATATTTCATCTGTAAATAATTTAATCATTCAATGGAGAACAAGGATATCATTCCTTTTGCAGATAAAAATTGTCTAGAAATTTTTTTCTATTGATAATGCTTTGTATATTAGTTTTTAAAATAAGATCTATATACATGTATTTATGTGTGTCAGATATGAAAGTTCTCTGGGTTTTGCTCCTATGTTTTGTATTTTTAAAAACTACCATATGCTTGCAGAAATTTATCAAGAAGCTGTTACAAAAAACGCAGTGAAGCATGACCAAATAGCTAGAAATATTACTGAATCTTTACAAATGTATAGTCTTTATTGTTGTACTGTGGAGTGCAAGGATACTAAATACTGGCTATTGATAAAATACGAACTTGTATTTCATGGCAAATAGATGTTATATCGCTTGATTAGTCTAGAACATTTCTAATATTTTGTGCTTTCATATATCAAAGGAGATTATGTGAAACTATTTTGAGATACTGTAAAATTACATGTAGTTATAAGATATATTTCTGTAAAGAGTTTATAACATGAGGAATATTATACCATTATACATTTTCATACTCAATCTCACAAGAAATTCAAAAGAATAATGATAAAGTAAACATATTTTCACCTCTGTCTAAATCAAGTCTAGTTATCAGCTCAAAAATTATGTTGTATCGTTTTATTTTGAATTTAGGCTTTGGGACTACTTTTTTCCAGCTTCAATGAGAAAATAAGATCTACAACTCAGGAGTTACTAGGGAAGTTCAAGTACTTTTCTGCCAAGTATTAAAAATATAAACATATGAAAATGCCATAATGCCTGTCATAGTCATTGCTTCCTATTTTGTCAGATAAAATTACCTTGCTTCTAGATTTTATACTTTAATCTGAGTGAAAGTATGATCTGGTGAAAAGGAAAAACAGTACAGTGTTACATCTGAGTTACTCTGAAAAATCACAGTAGTAAATGAACCTCAACAATGAGTGGTCAAAAACTGGTTTAACTAATGGGGGGATAGTATTTGGTTAATTATTTTAATATTAAATTTTCAAGTTATAGAGTTATGGTTGAGTATTCATCCATACTGAGTAATGAAACTTTTTAAAACTATAATTGGGACTCTTCTAAAGATTTTCTAATGTAAGATACAAAGGATATTCTTGATCTTGCTTGATTGTAACGGTATCTACAGGTTTTTAATGTCTGTTTGGGGTGAGGGTGATCCTCTGTTGTAGGAATGTTTTTAAGATTTCTATTTTGTTTTCCACTTAAGAAATTCCCCTCTCTCATTTGGAGTATATGTGTTAAACATAAGGTAGGTTGTATTTAGACATGCTAGAATCATTAAATGTAGGTGAAGTTGTAGAGAAAATGGCCTGGGTCAATGTAGGATCTAGAAAATTAGGAGTGTATATTTGTTGTTTTTTTAAAATTTTGTATTATTTATTACAGGAACAGATTTGTGTGGGTAAACAGTGAATACTCCCCTGCTCCTTCTGCATTCTAGTTATCCAACCCACCCAGCAGACTGTGTTCAGAGACAGAATGTTTTTAGAAATTCCTATTACTGAAATTAATAGTATAGCTATAAATATTAATGTCTGGAGGTATACAGATGTGCCTTAATGTAAATGATTTTCATTCAGAAGTTTACATTTTTACTCCATTATAAAAATCTCATCATTGGGAACTTTCCAAACCATGAATATCAGTTCTTTTGATGGAATTTGGAGACATTGCTATTTGGGACAATAGCATCAGTTCATAAAGAAGTGTACTCACCATATTACATTTATTTATGCCTTTTGTAGTTTAGCTACATACCATAATTTTCATTTTTAACATTCCTTGTTACTGCAGGTAATATTTGTTTTGCTTCTTCTTAGATGTAGATAGATACAGTAATGGAATTATATTAAAGAAATTATTAAAAATTTAATTCCAGTAGACAGTTGGAGAAATCTGAAGCTAATTTGAAAAACTTTTATGTTGTCATCTCATTAGAATCATTTTAAAAGCATTATTCTTGCATTTTTTGTAGGTTAGAGTGTTCTTTGTCATTTTTTTTTTGTATTCTTTTGTGAAGTTTGTTTCAATTATTTGAGGAAAATAACTTTAATCTGTTTATTTTCCTGAATTAAAGTTTTCACGTAGAGAATACAATTAGATGTTTTGTGTTATGACTCAAACTCTGGCTGGAAGTAGAGTTCAGAGAGGGAGAAGGGACAGGAATCACTGTGGGCGTCTCAGGAAAGTGCTACCAGTGCTGGGCTCCACTTCTCCCTTGGCATGATGGGTCCTCAGATCCTCCTCTGGATAATGAGGATGAAAAGGTCTAACTTCTAGGGAGGAAGAACCATCTTGGACTCCATAAACAATTTCGATGGGTATCAGTTCTCATAATATCTGCTATAATTTATTTTGTAGTTATTTAGAAACTTGTAAGCAATTGGGCACTAGTAAATTATAGTTATATTTCAATGTTTCCCGAGATCATTATTAAGCTATGAGTTTTCACCCCTATTTATTTAAAAAAGGAAAGTTGTTCATTTATAGCTATATATTAATATAAAAATTTTTATAAATGATTAAGAGAAAAAACAGTAATGATCACTTACTGTGCTAAAATACCTTTTCTAAAAATAACCTCTAGGGTTTTTCAGTTTTACTTTTTAAAGTATAGTCTGTGTAACAGTTTACATTAACTAGAGAAGTTAGATATATAATAAGCTTTAGTACTAAGACATTTACGTTCTGCACTCAAATGGACATTTTTTTTCCAGTGCTAACAGATTTTGTTTCATGTGAAGAAAAAGAAAACACAAATGAAAGTCTAGAAAAAGCAACAGAAAACTCACCACAGAAATAAAGACATAACCCTTGATAAGTTTATATAAGTGCCAGAATTATTGGAAGCAGGTAACGAATGATTTAAAAAAAAGCTTTGTTGTGGGGCATGCTTTAAGAATCAGCTCTTTGTGCCAAGGAGATCAGGTATTTGTGTGCAAACAGATCCCATTAATACTCTCATGTGAGCCATGAATTCCGCTTAATCTGCGTTGAAGCCTTCAAGTAGACTGATAGATGTAATCAAGTAATAAACTACCAAGTTTAATTTCTTTGCCTGTGTGTATGAACAGTTGGTAGTTTTACTAATAAGTTAAACTGATGGACTGGTTGCAGATAAGAGAAAGACTCAGTGATAGGTGGTTTGTGTGAGTAAAGTAACTCTTTCACTGTGTCAAGAGTTGAGAGCATATTAATTGTGTGGCATAATTGTGAGAAACAAATGGGAGCAAAAGGTTAGGTCCTTTGATGAGCATTTTCCTCCTGTTTTTAAAAAGGGCTTCAAATTGTTTCCTAAGTAAGGTAATCTTTCTTTAGTATTATCTAAGAAGAGGGACAGCAGACTGTCATTTGGAAACTATTGTGTCCCCTGTATTTTAAATATTTCAGGAAAATGGCTAAATTGTTACAAACCTGTGATTTACTTATAACAAGCTCTGATTCTCCAGTGGCCACTGGGCCTTCTCTGTGCTCTGTATTCAATTACAGTATGAATTACAGAATGCTGTGCATGTTTGTTAGTACCAATACCATGTGTATGTGGTAGAAGTTGTAACCAGTTTCTGGATCTGTATGGTATTATACTTATTTTATAATTCTGTAATCGTATGGCAGTGTTATGCCAAAAATGTATAAAGAATAGTTTGTTGCTTACTGCTGTATTTTAAAATATTGTTTCTAAAATAGAGTTCCTTTTGAGTAATTATTTTTATTAACTATTGCCAAATATATATCCTGTAAAACTAATAAAAGTCACTACATCTTAGGTAACATTTTAGCATTGTGCTAGAGTACATTATGGTGATTTTGCACGATTAAAATATTTTTAAAGAACCAGAAAAAAGTGACTTTGTTTTCCTGTCATTAAACATGTATTTTTTATGATTAACATAAGACTAACATTTTCTTTTATCCTCAAAAAAAAAAATATTGTGAAGGGTGACTCATATGAAGTTGTTTTTCTTGTACAATTTTACAGAACAGATCACATATGTAAATACTTGGATGTTTGTTATCTCTTGTGTAATCCAATTTTAGAAGTATTTTTCTTACCGATAAATGAGTATGAATAACTAATGAAGATGAAAGATGTTTTTCACTTAAATGGGCTAATATTTAAGTAGTCAAGTGTTTTATTAAGAAAAAATGCAATTGCAAGATGTGAAGATGGTGCTTTAAGAATTGCAGGACAATGTAGACAAAAATGAGGAAAAGCATAACATTTGAGCTTGGCTGCATTCTATATAAGTAGGAAAAGAAGTTGAAAGAACTAAGAATAAGTTGTAATAAGAGTGAAGTCAGACTGAGCATAACTGAGAAACTGATAGCAAATAACAGCCTCATGGTGATTGAGCATGATTTTAACTTCAGTCTTTTGTATGAATGGTTTAGTCAAGAGAGAAGTGCATACGTGCAGTCATTTTCATAAGGGAAGAATAGACACATTCTGGTAACAGAAAATAGGATTTTCTTTTCCTGACAGATTGGATGTCTGAAGATACCATAAATTCTGAAGAAAATGGAGATTCTTAGGAGAGTAATAAATAAATGCAGGACTGAGCCTGCAGTTCTGCAAGAATGTAAATTTCAATACGGGAGAGATTTTAAGAAAAGATTCATAACATTTCCTTATTTTAATCCTAAAGTGGATGCAAAACAGACAAGCTGGTATTTCAGGCATGTGGGAAATCCCAGCCTGGATCAAAATGATGACAGGCAGTTTAGGCTTTGGTAGTGGTGATTGGATGAGCTTTCAGACTAACACGGGGAACAAGGAAGGATTATCCTGCCCTTGGGATTATCCCCATGAATATGTAGGATTAATTGAAAGATTTTAAAATAGGATACTAAAGAGACAGATTAGAGAGATAGCATGGATTCAACTTGACTGTTCAGGAAAACAATTTTGCTATAGTAGTTAGCATTCTAATTTTATAACTTTATTGCATATTCAACACTAATATACAAATATTTTCCTCTCAAATGGTATATACTTGTTATTGAAATAGCTAGTTTTATCTACTCTTAGCTTTGAAAAGAAAGGTTAGAAGAATGAATAAACAAAGGATAATGGTTGACAAGGTGAACCAAATGAGGTCTGACAACTCACCTTAGAACACTGAGGTTGTCTGACATCTTTAAATGGATGATTTAACTGTTGTGAGGAAGAGAAGTTCAAAAAAAAGCCCTGAAGGGAAAAAAAGTAAGGTCAGAGACATTTTGTTTAATGGGAAAAGAGCAGGCTTTGAAGCCAGATGGACTTTGGTACAAGTGGCAACATCATCTATAATTGGCTGTGTGGTCTTGGGCAAGTAGTGTAAATTCTCCGGGTGTCTGGGCTCTTGTTGGTAATACCTGCTTTGTGGGTTTCTTGGAAGGATTGGAGAGTGTAGGTGAAATGCCAGGAACATATTCCAGACACTGGTTAATAGTAGCTGCTGGGGTTCTAGGAAAAAAAATAAGATGCTTAGTTATGACAGGACTTTGTAGCATTTATTTTAGTGAAGATCAGTCTAATCTAATGGAGGTTAACCAGGTTTATAGGTTGAAACAAATACTCTAAGTTTTACTTTCATTTTAGTATAGTTTTATTTTAAAAGCTAGCAGGTATGGAATTAATGATTTTATATTAGATATACTGATATTGACAGGACAGAACATTTTCCTCACTGTGGATGTAACGAATGTACAAAACAGCCCTTTGTTACTTAATTTTTTGAAATGGTTTCTTCTCTTCCAAGAAAAGAGCTGGAGTGTGAGACAGAGGTGAAGCCTTTAAGTCAGATGACCTTAGTTTATTTTAGTACACTATCAGTTTCTTATTGAAAGCTAGAAATTTTAATTTCTAATACTCCAAATAGGTATGTACTTTATATCTTAGTGGGAGGCCAACTAAAAGTTAACTATTTGAAAATGTGTATGTAATTAATTCTATGAACATGGTAGCCTAATTGCTATTCTTTTCTTACAACTGGAGTTGGAAGAATGAATAATTTTGTGCTAAAGAAACATTCATCTTTCAAAATTCAAAGTTATAGATATTTTCATACTGTGACATCAAAATGGGGCCACTGAAACTCTTGGGTCATTGTTTCTTACAGCTGTTTATCCCCTCAAAGTACCACCCCTATATTATACAGAAGATGAAATTATTCTCATTGTTAAATAGAAATTAGACATTTAAATTTTTATTAAATAAAAATCTAGACTGGGTGCAGTGGCTCACACCTGTAATCCCAGCACTTGGGAGGCTGAGGCAGGTAGATCACCTGAGATCAGGAATTCAAGACCAGCCTGGTCAATATGGGGAAACTCGGACTCTACTAAAAATACATAAGTTCGCTGGGTGTGGTGGCATGCACCTGTAATCCCAGCTACTCAAGAGGCTGAGGCAGGAGAATCTATTGAGCCTGGGAGGTGGAGGTTGCAGTGAGCTAAGACTGTGCCATTGCATGCCAGCCTGGGTGACAAGAGTGAGACTCCCTTCTCAAAAAAAAAAAATCTAGCATTCAACGAATTTCTCCTCATTTTATCTGTTTAAGTGTCCAGAAATGAGAAGGGAAGTTATATAATGTGCATAGTTGGTAGTGTGAGTCCTAATTTAGCAGATAATGAAGGTGAGGGATGGACAGGTGTCATGACTCTGCTCCTCTAAAAGCTGCAGATTCAAGAATTTGAGGGAACCAAAGCTATGTGGCTCTTTTCAGTGGGTTTGCAATATGTGGTTCTTTTTAAGTCAGTGAACACCTCTTAATAGAATGCATTCAAGAGCATCAGCCCAGACAGTGGGCTGACCTGTGCTACAGTACTAATCTAAGACCAGAGTCCTCTTCATGAAAGAGGCTTTCTCACCACTTAATGTGTTTGCCACCTGGCCAGTGCTTATGTTTGGTAGGTTCTGAAATAGGTCCAAACACTTCCATTTGGGAAACAAACCACTGGGTCTATGAAAAATGGTCTTTAAATATAATCATCTCTGACAGCATGTCTGACTGTACATCGTAGCTCTTCCAGATTGCATCCCTGGGATGATGTGGAGTCTGCTGTACTGCTATAACCCTGACATTTCTAATCTCATTGAATGACACTGCCTGATCCCCAAATTGGAAACCAGGGAGCTATTCCTGGCTTTTCATTCATCAAAACATGTAATTTGATAACAAATTTGTTGATGCTATTCCTTGAATTTGACTCCAATCCCCACTTCATCATTACCTCCAGTGCCTTCATTGATCTTTATCTGTTGCAAGAAACTCCCGATTCTTCCCTCTGCCACCAGGAAGCATGCAGCCTTCACAAAATGTCATGGTGTATCTTTGTATCTTAGGTGCCTAACAAGGGTCCATAATAAGCACTTAATAAACAGTCATTGAATTAAAAAAGTGTTCAGCAGTAGTATCTTGAAACAGATGTACAGCTGCTTATAAATATACAAGCAGATATATAAGTCTATGGGTAGCTACTCATGACCCCTTTTCAAGGTAAGATTTCTTCAAGACAAATACCTTCCAAAGTGAATTATTTGTATGATAGAAAGATTTCATAAGTATTTAATGTTTTGTTTTACAAACCCAGATCATGGTTCCTTCCTGGTTTCTCGAGTCACTTAGCAACAAGGATCACTAGTTTTTAAACTGATTTAAAAGCAGTTTCAAATTCGAGGTTAAAAGGAAGGGAAGTACATGGTCCCATATTTTCCTGCTTGGCTTGCAATTTTAAATAAGATGAATTAATTTTACTTCATATTTAGTAGATCAATGAAGTACCTGCTTCAGTGCCTGGCTGAGAGATGCCTGGAAATAAACAAGTGTGAGCACCAAACGGAAGTGTCTGTGAGAAAACCATCTGGAGCATTTGGCAAAATAAAGAATTCCCTTGGCAGTTCACAGCAGAGCTGACTTCCCCAGTTTTTACAATTTAGACAGAAATTCTGATTGACAGCAAAGGCTACTCTTTTAAGGTATGCTTTTCCTCTTAATGTTTGATTTTCAGATTGTATTGTTTGATTTCAGCTTTCCTTTTTTTCTGCATGTTGACAACAAAATTGAAACTATAAGCTCACTTATTTTAAGGTTTCCTTAAATAGAAACCCTAGGGATTTTCTAGTCCATGGAAGTAAATGATCACTTAAATTCCTTCAACCTTCTTGAGCTTGAGTGTTTGAGGCTTCGAAAACACTCCAGCCTAAAAGATTTTGTGAAAGGGGTGGTTCCTCATTTTGTTTGTCCTCTTTTAGCTTATGGTGATGAATTTGAATTATAAAAAACTGTAATGAGGTCACAAAATCATTCACACCAATTCAGATAGGTCAAGAAATGTAGTGCCTGTTCTTAATAGATTATCTGATCTTCATGAGCCCCGCCCTGCTTATGGTTAGGGGAATCTTCCATTTGCCAGTAGAAACTACTATTACTTCATGTTTATATTTCTCCTTTTAAACATCCAGACTATTCAAAATTCAAATCAGGACCAGTATAACAGCCTCTTTGGAATGACTATTTGATTTGGTAAATTACTAGTCATTCACATTTTCATTCACCTCTCTTTTTCCTGCCCAAGATGGCTTCTTGGGGGCATTCAGGAGGTCTCATCTGTGGCAATAGAGACCAGGTGAAAAGATATATTGGGTGTCCTCTGGATGCTCTCAAATTGGAGCTGTGGAGTGGCTGGGCTAGGCTGCTCCTCTGGACTGGTAACTTCCAAGGTTCAAGTGGTCTCATCTGGCTGTCTGAGTTTAAACCTAGTGGTGCCTATGGTGGAGCCAATAGCCCAATAGCCCAATAGCCTTCAGTCTTGAAGCTGTTACTAACAGTAGCCACATCACTTAGACTCCAAGCTTCTGTA